GAGGCTGGGAACCACCTACTTTTCTGGGAACCCCATACTTTCAAGTGTAAATTATTAGAACTGTGATTAAAACAAATCACTATTTTCATTCATATTGCAATCAATGAATAATAAGAATATTATATTATCAAATATTACTCTAATTAAATTTTCGAATACAAAGTAAATATAGAAGATAGAACATATTATAGAGATGCAACCATAAAACGTGTTTGTTATATTTACATGGTGTTGGTAGATAGCATCCAGCCGTAAACTGAATATACAACTTATTACTGTAGTGTGTAGCCACAGTTTAAAGTATACGTGTAGCCGTCAAAATTTTTGTTTCACTGAAATTACTATTTTAGATCTCACTGAACGAAATAATGCAATAAAATTAATTATTGTGAAATAACTGAATTCTATCATATTTATGATCGAAAAAAAAACGGCGTCAGCGATGGCTATGAAATGAAAATTGCTGTCATTTTATATGTAAAATTATATGGTGAATGTCATCGATCGTCATTTCCAAGCCAACTGGACGCCGCTTTTTTTCGATCATACGGTACCTTTTTGTTTAAACTTTTTTCCTGTGTGGGGAGAAATATCATACAAAACGGCCTTATCGTACAGTCACTATCATATATACGATGATCGTAATTATTTTGATGTAATTACTTCGACAATGAAATCATACCACCGAAATAAATCTTTAGGTACTCGTACAATTCTTTGACCCGTCGATCGATTTAGATGAAAAAAAACTTTAGGTACTACTACAACGAAATCATAGTACCGAAATAAATTTTTGGGTACTCGTACAATTTTTCGACACGATGATCGATTTAGATGAAAAAAAACTTTAAGTACTTCTGTATATGTATAACCATATGCGAAAATGTCAAAAATTGACATATTATGTATCGGCGTAACGGCGTAACGACCTTGAATAGATTTCCAGTAATTCTATTGGCTGAAAAATTCATCTGTCAGAAATTTTATCTGTCAAATTCATCTGTCAAAAATTTCAGCTAATAGAATTACTGGAAATCGATTCAAGGTCATTACGCCGTTTTTAAGATAGTGTGGATGCACCCTCAGAGTGTAATTTTGTATCGAATAATGTCAAAACACAAATACGACGACTGATTTAAACGAAAAAAAATTAGGTACTACTACAACGAAATCACAGTACCGAAATAAATTTCTAGGTATTTCTACGTACAATTCTTTGACACGACGATCTGTTTTCTGAGACGAAAAGCATTTATAGGTACTTCTACGTAAATTTCTAGGTACTCGTACAATTTTTGACCCATCGATCGATTTAGATGAAAAAAATCTTTAGGTACTTCTGGTACTTCTCCAACGAAACCATAGCATTAAAATGCATTTTTAGGTACTCGTACAACTTTTTAATCGATTCCGAGAAAAAAAAAGTATGTACGTCTACAACGAAATCATAGCATCGAAATAATTTTTTATGTACTCGTACAACTTTCTGATCGATTCCGAGATAAAAGAATAGGTACTTCTACAACGAAATCATAGCATCGAGATAAATTTTTAGGTACTCGTACAATTTTTTGACATGGTGATCGATTTAGATGAAAAAAAATTTTAGGTACTTCTGGTAATACTACAACGAAACCATAGCATTAAAATACATTTTTTGGTACTCGTACAACTTTTTGACCGTCGCGCGTCGCGTCTATCGATTTAGATGAAAAAAATCTTTAAGTACTTCTATAACGAAATAATAACACTATAATTATTTTTTATAATAATTAATTATACTTTACATAATTTTTAGGTACTCGTACAATTTTTTGACACGACGATCGATTCTGACAATTGTCATTTCAAAGGTAATTTGACGCCGTTTTTTGGAATCATATATATGCCATGTGTATACTTATCTAACAAGTAAAGTGTATTCATTTAGAATATTAAGAGATTCAGACGAAAAAAATCAAAATAGGTAGTAAGTATTCTTTAAGATTGTTCCTACATGTTTTATTTAAAAATTGTAACAGAGAACTATTATTATTATAGGGCCCCTCTCGGACCGCTTGGACGAGTCTATTATAAAAAAGATCGAGGGACAGTAGGTAGAAAAAACATGATTTGATTTGTCACGGAAACGTAAAGTTTAATAAAAGTGTTTTGTTGAAATTCTTCGAGTTTTATCATATCTCTTTTCTAAGTTAGAACCAGACTCCAAAAGAACAAACGGAACAAACCAGAATCGACAGAACGCACACGCGTTACGAAAGCGTCGATACGACACAAAAATAAACCGAATCGACAAAACATCGATTATCGGCACAAACAATTTCGAATCATTCTCTCAGACCCTTCGCTAGGTTGAAAGCGACACGGAAATCTCGACATAGACGTTTCGGTATTGCACAAAAGTGTATTCTCGCTCGGAACGAAGAGGTTGTCGCCATATTTAAATTAAAACAACAAATCGATCAGCTTTCATCTCGCAAAAGAATTGGCACAAACGACTTGTGTTTTGATTAAAAGTTGATCTCATTCGAATCGTGATACGTAAAAATATTTACGTCCACTCAATTCGCGATCTCGCTGTGAACGACAAAAAATACCATTCATTGCCGTTACCCATCTAACGATCGGTTTTGTCTCGTCAAACATCTTTCTAAATGCATAGCAAAATGTAAAATGACGAAACGCATAGCAGTATTAAAACCGTATATTACTAAAAAGAATAAATCTTTTCTAGGTGGCGATTTTCGTTAATTCGTTCAACAAAATCATAGCCTATACATTTGCTCGTGTGGAGAATCACGAACTTACTTCTAATTCGGTCCGCTGGTCGACTCTCCACATATAAGCGCACCGGTCGCCCGCCTGCCCTACTACCGATGTATCGGTGGGACCGCTGCCGAAGCGAGCGTCAGCCGAGACAGATATCGCCATTAGAAGCGACGATGCCGTTTTCGGTCGTTCGGCCGCGCCTAAAGTCACTCGGTAATTTCGATACCTGTTATTTCGGAGATTTTCTAACATATTGTCACAAACAGGGCAGACTTCTACTACACTCTTAAAACTGCATTGCCATACATATCTTTGCCGGCTCGGCTCTCTTTTCCGCACGACTCAAACAATTCGTCACCAAGCTAGCTAAATCACTAATGTCGCATCGCTATGCATTACGTTGTAACACAGCTATCCTAACACCTTTCTATCCGGTTCGCCCAATCGCGCGACCCCCGTCCTGTCAACAAACAACATTGTACGTGTACCTAAACTTTTATTAAGAAGCTACGACCACATTGTAGAAGTAGGTAAACTTTTTCCGTTCGGCCAGTCGATGGTCGTTTTAAAAAATTGTACGAGTAGCCCTAAAAACTTAATTTGTTTCTATGTTACGATCGCGTTGTTGAAGTATGTAAACTTTTTCTGTTCAGCGAGGCGACCGTCCTTTCAAAAAATTGTACGAGCTACCTAAAACTTTGTTTCCGAAGCTACGACACATTGTAGAAGTAGGTAAACTTTTTCCGTATGGCCAGTCGATGGTCGTTCAAAAAAATTGTTACGAGTAGCTAAAAAACTAATTTATTTCTATGTTACGATCACGTTGTTGAAGTAGGTTAACTTTTTCCGTTCAGCGAGTCGACCGTCCTGTCAAAAAAATTGTACGAGTACCTAAAATTTTTATTCCGAATCTACGACCACAATGTAGAAGTAGGTAAACTTTTTCCGTTCGACCGGTCGATGGTCGTTTCAAAAAATTGTACGAGTAGCTAAAAACTACATCTCTATTTTCTATGTTACGATCACTTTGTTGAAGTAAGTAAACTTTTTCCTTTCAGCGAGTCGATGGTCGTTTTAAAAAAAATTGTTACGAGTTAGCTAAAAACTAATTATTTCTATGTTACGATCACGTTGTTGAAGTAAGTAAACCTTTTTTCCGTTCGGCCAGTCGATGGTCGTTTCAAAAATTTGTACGAGTAGCTAAAAACTAATTATTTCTATGTTACGATCGCGTTGTTTAAGTAGGTAAACTTTTTCCGTTTAGCGAGTCGACCGTCCTGTCAAAAAATTGTACGAATACCTTAAACTTTGTTCCCGAAGCTACGACCACATTGTAGAAGTACGGAAACTTTTTCCGTTTTCAACCAGTCGATGTCGTTTCAAAAAATTTTGTACGATACGCTAAAAAACTAATATTATTTCTATGTTACGATCACGTTGTTGCAGTAAGTAAACTTTTTCCGTTTCAGCGATTTATTTCGTTTTAAAAAAAATTGTACGCGAGTATAGCTAAAAACTAATTTATTTCTATGCTTACGCTCGCGTTGTTGAAGTAGGAAAACTTTTTCCGTTCAGCGGGGCGACCGTCCTGTCAAAACAATTGTACGAGTACCAAAACCTTTGTTTTCGAAGCTACGACCACATTATAGAAGTAGGTAAACTTTTTCCGTTTGGCCAGTCGGTGGTCGTTTCAAAAAATTGTACGAGTAGCTAAAAACTAATTTATTTCTATGTTACGATCACGTTGTTGAAGTAGGTAAACTTTTTCTGTTCAGCGAGTCGACCGTCCTGTCAAAAAATTGTACGAGTATCTAAACTTTGTTTCCGAAGCTACGACCACATTGTAGAAATAGGTAAACTTTTTCCGTTCGGCCAGTCGATGGTCGTTTCAAAAAATTGTACGAGTAACTAAAAACTAATTTATTTCTATGTTACGATCACGTTGTTGAAGCAGGTAAACTATTTTTTTCTTTTTTAAGTAACTTTAACACCCTGTATCTCGAAAAGGAAGCTTTAAATCTTACAAGTTGATATGAACTTTTTCTTTTATTTTTGCAAGTTCTATCGTCTATTAAATTTTCCCGATTAAAATCTGTATATTAACTACTATTACCTTGTGGAACTTTTTTTTACTTATATATCTATTTGTGTATATGCTTTATAAGTATCGCATTTAAATAATTTGCAAATTTTCAAGAGATCTTGTATTTCTTTTCTTCATTTTGAACAAGTTTGTGGCTCTGAAAAGAGCCGATTTGTTTATTCCTGGAATATGTCGCTAGTTAGATGAATTACTTGGAACTGGTGTACTTAGTTACGGCTTTGGTACCTTCACTAACGGCGTGCTTAGCCAATTCACCAGGTAAAAGCAACCTCACTGCAGTCTGGATTTCTCTACTGGTGATGGTCGATCTTTTATTGTAATGGGCTAAGCGAGAAGCTTCGGCAGCTATTCTTTCAAAGATGTCATTTACGAAGGAATTCATGATGGACATGGCCTTACTAGAAATGCCAGTATCGGGATGTACTTGCTTCAACACTTTATAAATGTAGATTGCGTAGCTCTCCTTCCTCCTGCGCTTCTTTTTCTTGTCACTTTTCGAGATATTCTTTTGAGCCTTACCGGCTTTCTTAGCTGCTTTACCGCTAGTTTTGGGTGGCATCGTTTCGAAAAACAAAAATACGACAAACGTTCACGTTCGAGTCTGGCGTACAACTGACGACGGAAGAGCGAAAAATTCAGTTTTTAAACGGAGCGTTTGACGATCTTAGGCTCCGCCCTCCCACCGCTCTGTTACGGTTCTGATATCTCATTGGTCGCTCACGCCGGCTATTTAAATCGACTGCGCTGTAGCGGCCGCATCAGTATAGTCAACGACGTGACGACGTACGTTACTCAGGTTTTCCTCCAAGTTTCTTTACACATATTTTATTAACCAAAAATGTCTGGCCGTGGTAAAGGTGGAAAAGTGAAGGGAAAGGCAAAGTCTCGTTCCAATCGTGCAGGATTACAATTTCCCGTCGGTCGTATTCACAGATTGTTGCGTAAAGGCAACTATGCAGAGCGTGTAGGAGCCGGAGCTCCGGTTTACCTGGCTGCTGTTATGGAATATTTGGCTGCCGAAGTTTTGGAATTGGCAGGTAATGCCGCCAGAGATAACAAGAAGACCAGAATTATCCCTCGTCATCTTCAACTAGCCATCAGAAACGACGAAGAATTAAACAAATTGTTATCTGGTGTGACCATAGCTCAAGGCGGTGTTTTGCCTAATATTCAAGCCGTTCTGTTGCCAAAGAAAACCGACAGCAAAACCAAATAAACAATCTTGACGGTTCCTTACCTAGCAGATCGCAACCTAAAATCGGTCCTTTTCAGGACCAACAACTATATTTTCGAAAGAAAGAAATTTTTAATGTTTTTAACCAATTTTATTTTATAAAGATGTGGTAACGCTGCGTTAATATCTTGCACTCGAGTTAATATCATGTTTGGATCTATCATAGGGCGTTAGGTATAAAACTCACGGTATGACAATAAATATAAATCGAGATTGACAAAAAGGGAATGCCAAGCCGTTTTGATTACCAACGTAACGTCAATTTATTTTTTTTTACCTGTAATAATTGTAAATTTGTTAGCAACAACAAAAAGCTCGACTTAAACATTTAAGATTTACTTAGAATTTTATTTATATAGAGTAGATTGGTGAGGGCCGGCTTGTTTTTATATCGATGTAAAGCAATATATTTTCGAATTTAAATAATATCTTAGTATTAAGGATAGTAAAATGATTATAGATAATAATAAGGTTATTTTTTTTACTTTGAGACCGTTATATTTGAAGGGTAAGGTTTATTTATATAGAGTAGATTGGTGAGGGCCGGCTTGTTTTTATATCGATGTAAAGCAATATACTTTCGAATTTAAATAATATCTTAGTATTAAGGATAGTAAAATGATTATAGATAATAATAAGGTTATTTTTTTTACTTTGAGACCGTTATATTTGAAGGGTAAGGTTTATTTATATAGAGTAGATTGGTGAGGGCCGGCTGGTTTTTATATCGATGTAAAGCAATATACTTTCGAATTTAAATAATATCTTAGTATTAAGGATAGTAAAATGATTATAGATAATAATAAGGTTATTTTTTTTACTTTGAGACCGTTATATTTGAAGGGTAAGGGGGTGGGACGGATTATAATTATTACCATAAGTAAGCAAGTTTTTTCTTTTTTTTAATTAAGAAATTTGTGGTTCTGAAAAGAACCGATTTTTGAAAATTATTTCAATTAAGAAATATATTTTCTATTGTTTTATCTCGTACGTCGTCTAGGTATAAGATCTGATGTTGTCATTGTCCTTATGGCAAATATATTGTTCGTACCCGCCGTAAAAATTACTTCTTCTTCTTAGGAGAGGCAGCTTTTTTGGCTTTGGAGCCGGCGGAAGCTGCTGCGGTAGATGTTTTTGCTGTTTTTGGTTTTGGGGCCTTAGGTTTTTTTGTCGGTCCAGCTTTGTTGGACTTTTTCGCCTTAGAGGGAGATTTGGGTTTAGCAGAGGCGGCAGTCGCTGCTCCACCAGAGGCGGCTTTCTTCTTTTCGGCTGCTTTCTTTCCGGCTACTTTTTTCTCCGACGAAGCGGCTGCCGCTTTTTTAGCTTTTGGAGATCCGGCAGCTTTTTTCGGGGCTTTCTTTTCGGTAGCTGCTGATTTCTTTGCGGCGCCTTTCTTGGCTTTAGCTCCGACACCCTTCTTTCTATCTCCTGCGGCTGACGATGTAGCTCCGCCGCTCGATGATTGTTTAGATTGGGCCGACGAACTTGAAGCTGCCAGTTTGAAAGAACCGGACGCACCTTTACCTTTGGTCTGGACTAAGGTTCCGGATATTACTGCCGATTTCAAATACTTTTTAATAAACGGTGCTACCTTTTCCGCGTCCACTTTATAATTAGCAGCTATGTACTTCTTGATGGCTTGTAAAGAAGAACCTCCTCTCTCTTTCAATCCTTTAATAGCGTTGGTTACCATCTCCGATGTCGGGGGATGGGTAGGTTTTGACCTGGGATTTTTAGCTTTCGAAGATTTTTCCTTTTTCAATGAGGAGGCCGATGTACTTCCGGCTCCTGCGTTAGGTTGATTCGAAGGCGACGTGGCCTGTCCACTAACTTCTGCATCTGCCATAACTGATAGATTATTATCACTAACAACGACAATTAAAAATTCGCTAAAATAATATCGAGAGATAGAGCGCGCACGTTAACGTGTTCACTGGTCGCTACGAATTGCCCGTCTGACAAATATTCCGGTGGTCGTATCAAAACGGGCGGAGGGAGGACTGAACGGTGCGGCCACGACGATGCTCCGTATTCCGGCTTCGCTCGTACCTTTAGCGCACTGGGAGCTATATTTTTTCTAATTGTTTTTTATATTACAATAAATACTCGGTCGAGACTACGATCGAACTGTCGCTTTAACGGTACTGCAAATTTTGTAGGGAATACGAATTTTGGCCTGTTATTCTAGGATTTGTCGCTTAAAAATCGTCTCAAACAGGACGCCGTTCGCATTTCAAGTTAAAATTTTTATTTCATTCGCATATATTATTTGCTTGGCAACGATTCCGTGACAATCGTTTTAACTACAAGTACTTCAATGTATCCTCTGTAAGATTAACGAATTACTTCGATGTCGTTTCGAATCGCTATCGAAAAAAAAAATATTATGCCGGCCCCGCGCCGTTTCTCTTTGAGCCCAAAACGAAGGCTCACGTTAACTGGAAATCTAACATTTCGGTTTAAAAAGTGGAGAATGAGTCTGGCGTTTAAAAGTTAAGGAAAATAAAACAGTGGACAAGATTAAAAGGTCCATCATATTTAGGGAAATTGATTTATATGCCGAACGTAGCCAAAGTATGTCTAAAATGTTTCGTACGCTTGAGAAATCTGCGTTAAAAATTAACCGTATCTACGTGCTGAAACCCATATAGAATGGTACTATTCTATTCAAGAATAAGCGTTGTAAAAGCGCGTCTTCTATTATATAGAAGAAGATCTTTCGACACCGTTCAATAATGCATACATAAAATTAGCAGTAACAACGAACGTATCGGATTGTCGATCGAACAGTATGAACTTACGATACACAATAGAGAATTGTCTTATTACTTTATATCCGAAACGGATATCATGTATTCTACACTTACTAATTATCTATTGCTAGCGAAAAACAAACTACATATTTCCTAAATTAACGTGTAAACGTATGCAAATGCGGTAATAATACTTAACAAAGTTTTCTTGTTCCTTTTTTTTATGCGATTCTAATTTGTGGTTCTGAAAAGAACCGTTTTGTTTGAATGTTATCGAATAAAAATCCAGCTTGGGGTAAATGATGCATAATTTAACCGCCGAATCCGTACAAGGTACGACCTTGACGTTTCAAAGCGTAGACAACGTCCATGGCGGTGACGGTTTTCCTTTTGGCGTGTTCGGTGTAGGTGACAGCGTCTCTGATTACGTTTTCCAGGAACACTTTTAAGACACCTCTGGTTTCTTCGTAGATTAAACCGGAGATACGTTTTACACCTCCACGACGGGCCAATCTTCTAATCGCGGGTTTCGTGATACCTTGGATGTTATCACGCAAAACTTTGCGATGACGCTTGGCGCCACCTTTACCTAATCCTTTTCCTCCTTTACCTCTGCCGGTCATCTTGTTATTAAGATGTACTGTACAATTAAAGTCGAAATGAAAAAATCGTACAACGAAACGGACCCGTTAGGATGTAACGAACGACTGCTGCCCCGGCTCGAGATTGCGCCGGTTTTGTTAAGTTTCTAGGCTCCGCCTCCGATCGTCGTCGTAGACCAATAGCAGTAGTCGAGGTAAGTAACAAAAACGGAATTCGTTCGAAGGAATGAATCAGTTGTCGACTAACCGTAAACGTTTGCGTATCAGTCGTCTAGACAATCTATATTTTATCTTTCTGTGTATATTTTATCGATTTCGGTGTAATAATGGCACGTACTAAACAAACCGCTCGTAAATCTACCGGTGGAAAAGCTCCCCGAAAACAGTTGGCCACTAAGGCTGCCAGGAAGAGCGCTCCCGCAACAGGAGGTGTTAAAAAACCACATCGTTACAGGCCTGGAACTGTGGCGCTTCGTGAAATCCGTCGTTATCAGAAGAGTACCGAATTGTTAATCAGAAAATTGCCCTTCCAACGTTTGGTTCGTGAAATCGCCCAGGATTTCAAAACCGATCTTCGTTTCCAAAGTTCCGCTGTTATGGCTTTGCAAGAGGCCAGCGAAGCTTATTTGGTCGGGCTTTTTGAAGATACCAACCTTTGCGCCATCCACGCCAAGCGCGTCACCATTATGCCTAAGGACATCCAATTGGCTAGGCGTATCAGAGGAGAACGTGCTTAAATGACGAATTCATCCGACTAGTAAATTATCTACCTATCGAAAAAAAAATCGGTTCTTTTCAGAACCACAAATTCGTTTTGCATAAAAAAAGAAATATAGAAAAACACTTGGTCGATTTATAGACGGTTTAAAATAAAGAAGGAACATTAGAAGTATGACATTTCATATAATTCTAGAAAATTGAAAATTTTCAACGTTGTCATGTCTTGTGCTTTTTCGGTATACTTAACTTTTTAACTGCGAATTACTGAGACGAATGTCTTCGTTATCGCAATATTTACCGTAATTGTTTAAATAAGTGGTTATTGTTCGTTTTTAGTAGAGGGAGATTGTCGATTCTCTATAAATCTATATTACGTTATATACAGGGTGTCCCAGAAATAAGTCCAAGTATTTTAAGGGGTGGTAGAACTGGTCAAAAGAAACGTTTCTCTTTTTACCGTTTTTCAATTAAGTCCAAAATAATCGAGTATATATGTAACTTTGAAATTTTGCAAAATAAATGATTTTTATAAGCTTTTATTTAACTTGCTTTGTATGTAACTATCTATGTATGTATGTTTGTTCGGGCCAAATCTTGTAAGCTAAATTAGAACCACTTCCTTTATTGTAGGAAATTGAAATTCGGCATGTAGGTTCAGTCCCGATGACAATACATTTGTTTGCAAGGCATAACCCGAATTTTTGAGGTTTTAGACTTTTTAAAAGTCTATTTATGAATGGATGGGGCTGAAATTATATATTTATGTATATTGTGGGTATATAAATATGAATAAAAAGTATATGTAACAAGTTTATTTTACTTAATTATTTATTAATTACAATCTATAAGGATTAATTTTAGATATATTACATATCTTCTTAGCGTTTAAACTTTTTTTTCTTGTCCATGTGGATTCGTTCTTCAGCTGGAATAATATTGATAATTTTCTTATATACCTAGTGGTTTTCTGGACATTGATTCCGAATAACCTTGGCAAACCCTGTCTAATAATTTCCAACCCCATGCTCGGATTTAGCAGCATCTTTAATTTATCCTTATTTTCCTGGTGAACGGCTTTCCGTAATGATTTTCTCAGTATTGGATCTCCTTGAACAATGGAATCGAAGTAACTAACAGTCCTCACAGTTACTAATAAGGAAGCTGGATCTAACAGCCTCAAAATTATGCACCAAACTTCTACAGAAAGTTGTGGTAACACTGTACAGTATACTGTAGTATAGGCGCAGATAATGGGTAGCAGTTGATACATTTTCAGGTAGGTACAGTAACAGCACAATAACAGTTAGGATAATAATGATCACAATCCTTAAAAACGTGCTATTTATACCTATGTATGCCCAGCCAACCATGTCAAATGCAGCGAAGCGCACGGAATAGTCAGCCATCATATCTTATACTGTCTGGTACGGTTCCTAGATGTTCTCAATGACAAAATAGAATAAAAAAATATTTTATGTGCAATTATTTTTCATGTAATAATTCTAAGTAGATGTATTTCCTTTTTTTTATTCAATAGATACTCGTTATGGGCAATATAGTTATCGATATTAAAATCGATATATAGGATAGCCGTGGGCTAAAATGAAAGAAAAAAAATTGAGCTGTCAAATTTAACAAAAAAACAAATTAAAATTTTGATAAAAATCGATATATTGAAGGCCCTCTATCCCATACTCGGTTTTCATTTTATTTGTCTCACTACTGTCAAATTTGACAGCTGTCGTTTTTCTTAAGTTCTCCTTATTTAATGAAAATCGATATACATATTGTTGGGATGCCCATAGGAAGTAATTTAAGAAAAAAAGAATTGAGTTTAAGTGTGTGGCACTGAGAAAGCAGCATAACTAAAAGGTAGAAAATAAATTTTAGAAAAAAAAACTTTTTTAAAAACAAGCTTTTATTTAAATAGACTAAAAAGAAAAAATAAACTTTTTCTTTAATACTTTTGTTATGAACTTATAACGTTATTACACAATTTTAAAAAATATATAAAAGCTTGTCGCGATATTTCTCTACATCCATAAACAAGTAAATTAACTAAAACCTGTGTCTGCCCTGTCTCATTTTCCAAGATTGCGTTATGATAGACCACTAGACCAGGAATTACAAGATAAAGTTGTACCAGATTTTTATGAGTGCAACTTGTAAGGATAAATCAAATTCAAACTTCACTACTTAATTTTATTATTACTTTTTATTAGCAAACTACAAAGAGACGCTATGCGTATCACCGCCAAAACCAATCTCTCTTAACCTCCAAAACTCTAGCGTGGCTTCCTTATTATTTTCTTATTTTC